CGACATCAAATCAATATTTGGTGTGGCCACCCTTTGCCTTTAAAACAGCAACAATTCTTCTTGGAGAATGAACCACAGATCTTCTGTGGATGTAGGCATCCTCACATCGTTCTGTCTCTTCATGTAATCCCAGACACACTCGATGATGTTAATATCAGGGCTCTGTGGGGGCCGAACCATCACTTCCAGTTCTTCTTTGTCCTGAAGATAGTTCTTAATGACTATGGCTGTGTGTTTGGATTTTTTTTTTCCTGCTGCAGAAAACATTTGGGCCCAATAAACAATCATTTATATGTCTGAAAGCATTCTTTTATTAATTGTAATTGTATAAAAAGTGGCTGAGGCTCTATGGACATCATGCATTAGTTAACGAAGTCTCGTTATCACCATCTTGAAAGGTTTTGTTATGAAATCAGATGTGAAGGTCCAACTGCACACTAATTGTGACTCATAGATAAGAGTTTTGTAAATAAGTAAATACTTTTTACAAAACGCTTTTATTCGTAGTTTATCCCTTTATTCTTAGGAATGTGCAATAAATGACAATTTATCACCACAAAAATTCAAAGAACAGACACAATTTGGCAAATTGAATTTTTAAATTTATAGAGAACAAAAACAGATTAATGGATTCTTGTTTTTTATGGTAATCTACAGATTTTAGGAAATAAAGCAAAAAAGAAATAAAGAATACTATAGCCTACTGATGCCTGTCTGTCTGTTTGTGTGATGCCTGGATTACTCGTCAAGAACCAAAATAGGGTTGTCTTAGCTGGGTGGATAAGAAGCTCAGCATTGAGCTATAACAACGACATATCTAGCTCCATCTTGTGGGAATGGTTAATTATTACAGTTTCTGTTAGCTGAGGAATTCAGTTTTTGGCAGAAGTCGACCGTTAGGATGTGTACAGAGTCAAATCTGCAAGTTAAATGATCAAAGAAACAATAAATATGATTTGAAACACAAAATTAACAATAACAAAAGTGGTGATTGTAATGATTTAATAAGAAGTAGGGCAATAAATTCAAAATTCTATAGTATAATAATAACAGTAAAAGAACTGGGGAAATTGACACAATAAACCAAAACTAATCGGAAGCTAAAAGGGCTAAAAAGGAAAAAAAGGAAATTACAGATTTTTATATCTGCAACTGAGAACATCTGGTTGTCTGTGGAATACATGGGGCAAAGGATTGTTAAAAACTCTGATAGATAAACTCAAGCAAGCCCATTCAAGCTTCTGTGCTAGCTCAAATACTGTCTGAATTAGTTTTAACATATTCCTACACAAACACACGAACATATTCCTACATATCTCTCTAGTATATGTCTTCAGCCTAGTGACACTTTCTAGAGCCTCAGTTATGGACGTCATGTTGTCTTCTGCACCTCAGTTCATACTTTCCTAATTTTAGCTTCCAGTCTTCATCTCCTTGAGGAGCTTCCTACCTTCTACTCATCCATAGTTCCCAGATGTGTTGCATTTAACACATAAATAAATAAATCAAGCAGAAAATTGATCCAAAGACTAAATGCTAACAACAATTCTTCGAATTTCTTGGTTAAAATTTATAGTTAGTTAGTTAGTTTGTTTGTTAGTTTGTTTGTTTCCTAACTCAAACTTATTTTTGTTCAAAATTTGCAGACATTACGTGTTTTCCAGGTATTTCCAGGTATTGTATTCTCTCTATACCCACAACTGCAATCCAACTCACAACAACAACCTCTTCATCAAGTTTGCTGATGACACCACGGTAGACAGACTCATCTCAAAGGGAGACAAGGCAGACTACAGATAGGAAGTCCTGAAGTTGGAAGCATGGCGTTCAGAAAACAACCCGGCACTGAACACCAGGGAAACCAAAGAGGTCATTGTCGACTTCAGGAGGCACAGCACTGACTTAGCCCCACTATACATCAACGGGGAGTGTGTTCCTTGGTGTCCTCATCTCCGCTGACATCTTCTGGACAGACAACATCTCAGGGGTCGTCAAGAAGGCCCAGCAGCAGCTGCACTTTCTGAGGGTCCTCAGGAAGTAGAAGCTGGACTCCAGCCTGCTGCTGACCTTCTACCACTTATCCATTGAGAGCCTACTAACATACCTAACAACAACTGCGTATGATACGGTAGAGGCACTAAGGCGGACAGAGCAAGGCTTCAGAGTGCAGTCAAGGCAGCACAGAAGATCATTGGCTGCCCTCTCCCCTCCCTGATTGACATTCAGTCCTCCTGCTACCTCAGCGGAGCAGCAAACCTCATGAAAGACAGTTCCCACACTGGTTTCAAGTTGATCAGCCTGATTACATTTTATATTTTTTTTCTGTTAATCCTGTTCATATGTATATAGTGCTGCAGAACTGTGCCCCCCCCCCCCCCCCACACACACACACACACACACACACACTCATGTTTGTACTGAGTTGGAGATGCTCGCAGTTTCATTGTACAACTGTATAGTAACTATTCTGTTACCTACAAGCCCAGTTATTATTAGCCATGTTTGAGCATGTGAACATGTTGGATGGATGCTATGACACTTTTTTTTATAAATTTTATAATTTCTTTATTAAGAGAATAGTAAAACTGCCAATGTTCGTGTTAACCTGTTTAGAAGGGTTTTCTACTGTTTGGGCTGTGGATTAATGGCAAAGCACTGTTTTTCTTGAAAGCATCTCCTATAGTCAAGACTCACTCTTCTTCCCAACGTACTATTCAGATGATGTAACACTGAAACAGTACCAGCATAAGCAGGTATGAATGGAAATTTAAAATACCAAATTCTGCAAAGACATGAGGTAATCCTGCACAACTCACATTTTTAATTTTCTTGTCTTTTTGCCTGAGGATCTTCACTGCTGCAGTCTGGGAGAACTGATTATACCCTGCAATCTGTCTAAAGTCTGCATTTATGTGTCTGCACATGTGTTTAAATGTGTGTATTACGCATTTGACAGACAGTAGAACATAAACAGAATGGAAGGTAAAGTCTGGGCAAACAGTCTTTTAGATTCAGCCTATACATTGTGCCAGGGTTCATTCTGGGCCAGGCTTTGACCTCATGATTTAACTTTTAAAGAAACGGGGAAATTAACAAAACTTGACTTCAGTACCAAAAATCACAATCACACACTAGCTGAATTATGCATTGATTTTACAAATAATACATAAACACTTTTAACTTATAATTTTGCATTTGTTTACTAGTTTATTGTTTTTGTGGGGAAGAAAAATGTATGTTTCATAACCCACCAGGGAGCAAGGCCCACCATTCAAGGATTAGTACTATAGCTAATTTCTCTCTTGAATCATAAATACTGCATGAGGAGAAAATTACATAACCTACTTTTTAATATATATTTTTTATATTACCCATTAAAATTTTATATAACCCATTAACATTTGATTAAAGATTAAAGTTGAGCAGTATTAAAGCTTGTGGTTTGTGTAGTTTTGCTTTCAATTTGACTGAAAGAGTCAGCTGTTCAGATTCCCTTGTTTATGAGAATATTTTTCAGTACTTGTTAGGCTTCAGCATCAAAGTTACCACATAGACATGAGTGACATTAATTTTTAAGCTTGTTCCCTTTAAACTTTTTTTTAAATGGCTGGATACAAGTCTACCAAACCTTTCAGTTGTTTACGATCTCTACTTTTCTCCACTTTAATAATTTTGTATTTCTCTATATCACTGTTGCCTTGCTTACTGTATTTAGCAACATAGCAATCATGTGTAAAAGACTTCAAATTGTTTGCTCATAGGGATCTTGTGATTGTTGGGGTCGCGTCTATATTGTTGTGGGGCCAGTACCTTACAATATAATAATATAAAGTGCCCTGAGATGACCTTGTATGTGATTTAGCATTATTTAATGTTATTGAATTTAACTGAATCAAATTGAACTTCTAGAACAATGTCCTTTGGTGAAGCAAAGATGTTTTGTAAATCCATATCCACAGCCAGAATCCACAGCGCCACATTTGGTGAAAACCAAAAGCAGGATATCAAAATAAAGACCTCATACTAGCTGTCAAGCATGGCGGTGGAAGTGTGATAATTTGGGTTTGTTTTGTAGCCACAGGACCTCAACAGAGCTGTGCATAAATGAATGCCTGCAACCCTAAATAAACTGGATCAATGTTGTAAAGAAGTGTGGGGGGAAATGATGTGAGATACTGATCAAGTCATATATAAAATCATTACTTGAAGTTATTGCTGCTAATGCTAGTTCTGCGAGCTACTGAATTACGTGGCGTGTAGTTAGTTTTTCACCACATAGAGTCTTGTGTAAACTTTTTCACAGGACTATGCAGTAAACTTCAGAATAGTGTTTATGCTTACACAACCAAGATAGGTTTTTTTTATGAAAAAGAACTTTATTAATATTTTAGAAATGGTACATTATGGTACATTACAGTAAACAACGTGGGACAAACAACATGTAGTGTAGGTAGCAACTGTGCAAATAAACAGGGCTGTGTTGTCTGTATGTGTGTACTGTATCTATATCTGATTGAACCCTGTAATAGAAGATTTTTTTTTGTTCTTTGCCTGGATCCTTTTATCTACACCAGCAAAATGTAATGTTAGCGAGCAAAAAAGCTAAGCCACACTGGCAGCAAATGTGTGACTTAATGTCAGTTTTAAATTTGATTATTTTCAAAATGATTACAAGTATTACAAATGTATTTAAATATAAAATGTGCATTTGCATTTATTTATTAAGCATAAGAACTTTGTATGTTTGCGTATTGCAGTTATTAATTAATAGTAAATGGCAGTTTTGTGCTAGTGTAGACAAGAGGACTCAACTTTGTCAGCGTTTTTGTTCTTTATCAGTTTTGACCTTGTACCCTGCTGGAAGAGAAGGGAGAAGGGGAAGGGGCAAAGATCATGAGGTCGGTCAACCTCCTGTTACAGGTAGCAGTCGTCATTTTTAAAGTTCAATTAACTTCTTTTCCCCTACTGGATCAAAGATGAGATTTACAAGGACCACAGGATAAAGGCGTTAATGGTTTATTTAGCCAAAACCCTAGAGAGCAAAACACATGTGCTTTGTTAGATGATGCACAGATTTTCATGGAAATATCAGCTGAAAACATGAGTCAATAATAATTCAGCCTTGGTCATCCCTATTGGACCCCGCAGGGGAAAAGGGCTCGGGAGGGGGCTCTTTGCACATGGATGCAGTGTGCACACATTATGTGATTCGGACACCACCGCCCGCTCTATTTCCTAGATGGGCTTATTTGGCAGTGATAACTGCCGGGATGTCAGTGGTGGTGTCAGGTGCTGCCCCTTCCTCATCAGAGTCACTCTCAGCGCTGTCACTCTCATCGGAGTCAGCGTCAGCAGCTCCAGGTGTGGCTGTAGCCTCCTCGCTGCTCTGGCTCTCCTCGTCTTCGGCCTCCTGGCTGGTGCTATCGCTAGTGGTGCTGGCGCTCTCCCCTTCCTCCTCCTCCTCTTCTTCCTCTGGGGTGCTGCTGCTTTCACTCTCGCTGGTGGTGGGGTCACTGGTGCTGGTGCTCTCCTCTTCCTCTGCCAGATCGGCCTGGCGGGGGTCCGGATCCTGAGATGTGCCAGAGGACGCATCCAGACCCTGGCTCTCCACCTCAGGGGTGCTGGTGTCTTCCTCCAGGAGTTCAGGGTTGACATAAATAGTCTAGAGGTCAAAGGAGAGATGTGAGGGTTAGTTTGCATATTTATCAACATTATATTTTAAACTTTTAATGCAGTAATCTAAAATGAGGGTTAGGGATTCTGCTAACTTTAAGGACCAATTCTGGTTCAGTCTTTCAGAAATTGATAAAGCTAACTGTACCTTATACACCTTTGGCAGCTTCTCCACCTCATTGCCATCGGTCATTGAATAGGCTGTCTTCTTTCCTGTGTCCTCAAACTCATAGGACTTGTAGGGCCCGGGAGCCTTGTGGTAGGATTTTTCCTCCACATAAACGATGGACTTGTACTCGCTGGGGTAGCCTCCCAGGTTGTCACCGCGGGCTGTATCGGTGACGACGGTGGCCACAATGGGCTCATTGGTCGGCTCAGGGGCCGGTGTCTCTGTGACAACCACAGGGGCTACTGTAGAAGGAGCAGGCGTGGAGGACTCACCGGACTCTGAGCTGTCGCTGGATTCATCCTCCTCCTCCTCTTCCTCCTCTGTTTCCTGTAGACAAGATATAGGAGTTGGCAAAAATTCCTACTGATTTTCTAGTAGTTTAGTTTAAATTGTCCATGACTCATATCTTCATCAGCATGGCTAAAATGCATTTTATATTTAAAATTTGTATTGACACAAATATCTAAACTTAAGCTTGAGAAATGTGACACACATGAGACGAATTGTTTGAAATAATAAATTCCTGTTATTTAAAGAAGTAATGAAAAGGTTTTCACAGGACATTTTTACTCACACTCTCCTCTGCTTCATCATCATCATCACCGTCTTCACTGTCCTGGTTGTTAACAGAGGGCGAATCTGAAGTTGTGTCTGTGACGACAGATTTGACTTCAGGTAGCGCCTCGGCTGCCACCTGCTGCTGATGCTGCAAAAACCATTAAAACACAATGTTATAAGAGTTTAACAATAAATGCATTGTAACATAAATGATCACTGTTTTGACCTCTGCTGCTCATCTCTCACCTCCTCCTCTTCTGAAGTCTCTGCGCTCTCATCTGAACCAGCAGCCGCGGCTGCTACAACATTCTGCAAGATGGGAGACGTGCAATGAATGTGATTGATCATCATTGCTGTAAAGAGTCCTTTCTTTGGAAGAAAGAATCTTTGAAATCGTCCTTTAGTTTTCTTTCATTGCTTTTATAAAATTTGTACTTTAAGCTGAACCCAGCTAGAGGAGATTATTTAAAGGTTGCATCTCTACTTCACAGCTAAAATCAGGATGAGCTGTTGAACTACAAGTTTAAAAATCCTAGTTCTCCTGCTTTTCTCTGCTCTGTATAACAAAGATTTTACCCGTAGTATCACTAAACTCCAGCTATCAGTAGCACATAGCCACAGATGAAGTGCATCTAAAAATATGATGCTTTGCCTCATGTTAACATATTGGTGTGTCCAAGATATTGTACCGTCCCTTTTATAATTTACATTGTTCACATTACTTTGAACAATTTTTGAGGATTTGACTTTTGGCCAATCAAAAAAAAGCATTTTAAATCTACCTATTTGGCCTTCTGGTAATTGTGTTTGTCCAGTTATTAAACTTTAATAATTAGCTGATCTCTTTTCTGCCTTACTCTGACTTTTGCCTGATTATACTTGCACACTTTTACTATATTTTTACAATGTAACAATAAAACATGTAGTAAAATATTGTTGAATTCCCATAAAACAGTACTTTGAATAGGTTTTGTTATCAGATATCACATATGTGCCTTGTGAGATTTAAGTGAGTAGGTGAAAGTGGCTGACAGCCCAGACAGCAGAGAATTAAAGGAGAACCATTACTGCAAGGACAAAATAAGGAGAAGATACTGGAGGGAAGATAAGAGAGAAGAAAGAATGAGAGGAGAGCAAACTGACAAAATGATAAATGGACACAAAAAATGAATATTTTACCTGCACAGGTGGGGGACGAGCCTTAAGAACCACAGGCGCCTGTTTTCTGAGTGCTGGAGGTTTTGGTCGTCTCACCTGTGGAAGAGAAAAACACCATGGATGTCTCACTCTTTCTCTCACCACCTCCCACCAGCCTCTCTTGGAATACTTACCACTTCCTCAGAGCTCTCTGAACTGGAAAGTTTTCTCGCCTAGAAAAACAAAGGTACCACAGTGAAATTTATGACAAAATGGCATGATAACACATGTTATGTTCTCAGTTTATTTATCTATTTTTAATCTGGGTGTAGTTTTGATTTGACAAAAGTGTCTCACCGGCCGGCAGAGAACTGTGGCAAAGAGCAGAACAAACACAACAGCCACTTTCATTGTGTCACAGTTTGATGCCTGGTTGGAGGAGAAAGCCAGAAAAAACGCAGCTTGAAGTCACACAATAAAACATCACAATAAAACAATAAAACATAATCATGATACACAGCACTCGGCACCAAAATACTCGTCTGAAAGCCATAACTTCACAGGAAACACAATGACATGTCAGCCTCTCACCCAGATTCCTTCCTAAAAGCGGAGGCTGTACAGTCACATGACTGTTAACCGTTCTTGGTATGTCCCAGGGAGTCATTAAGGCCTTAATTACAGAGCTAAAGAGGGCTATGTGCCTTTGACGACTCAGTTCGATACAGTAAAACATTTTCTCTGTCATCACACCAGGAAAATCGCATCACTATGAGCAGGCGGTTCATAACTAATTTGGGGCCCAAAAAAAAAGACAGGAGAAAAATAACAAGTACCATTTAGAAGGAGATTCATTTTGTTCGAGAATGTTTTTAGAAAAATGACTTTGTTTGATTTTCTACTGCCTGAGTCTAGTTTGCAATGCTATGAATTATTCTGTGATGCTTTTTGTGTTTTTGTAGAGGACTATTTTCAGTCAAGGCTCAATAAACACTTTTCAGTAGCAGGGTGGTTGGTGTACATGGGGTGAGCCAAAAAATAAAGCACAGCCAATGCAACAATGTGAATCATTTTGTTAGTGGGTTTATTTCATTATTGTTTTGTCTTTGTTCATGTCTTTTAGTTCCTTCTTCTCTTTTCTCATCATGTTCTTTAACAAGCTTTAATGTTGGTGTTTGCTGTGGGAGGAACAGTCTAAGTGCTTATCTTTAATGATGGACTTTTCCTATAGTGTGTAATTCACCAAGTTATAAATGGAAAGCCACAGCGCAACTGCATAGTGTCAGATGTCTCTGCCACTGTATGCGAGCATGTATTTTTTCATTCTTTATGAGAACAAGTTTTAACCTTAAACCTAGAGAATAAAGTATAATAAAGACATTTTTGTTCTTTATTGTCTGGACTGATTTCAGGACTAAGTTAAAACAACCTCATATGTATGGTGGCAGTAATTGTAGCTGTGTATGCGTGTATTTTTGTATATCGCACTGTGTGAGGATTATGTTTCAGACCTTGAAAGCATGGACATTTTTGTTCTGTCCTTTCTGGGTCTAACTTGGGCTGCTTGGGAAATAAGTGCTGATTTTGCATAAAAAGCAACCACACATGCACATGTGCAATGGAAGTAACTTTAAGTGTGTGTATTGTTCTTGTTTTTCTATCTTGGTGAGGACCACTGCTTTAGACCTTTAAAGTAAGGACAGTTTGATTTTTACTTCACTTTTACAAATAGCTTTTTTTAGGATTTCAGAATTGGTTTTCGGGTTAACATTAGGTTAGGTGTTGGGTTTAGCTTTATTGCTGTTGTGGTTAGGAGGTTTGATACTGCTCTTAGAACTGTACACTCAAGTGATGCTAAGAGTTCGTTTAGCTTAAAGAGTCGAAGCAGGGTTAATTGTAACCAATCAGCCAGAAATTTTAAAGGCAATTTACATGTTTCGTCTATCTTATTTATTAAATTAAAACCAACAATTTAAAAAAACAACACACATTGTGGTTTTATAGGAAGTTACATGCTGTGTGAGCTCTGAAACCGTAGCGTTTTTCTTTGGGTTGGTGCAGGTTACTGGTGACTGGTACTTTTTTCAAACAAGCCACTCTTTTGTTGGACGTTTAGCATCTCAGAGACAAACTGGGTTTAATAAAACACTTGTCCATCTAATATTGCATAAACTTACAATGCTTTTTCTTAAGCACCCTAAAAACCATGTGAAAGTATACCAGGAAGCAGCTGTGAATTTTAGATAAGCTATCCTCTTTTTACTTGAAAATGTTTACCCAGGATTTATAGCAGCAAGGAAGTTGGAATGAAGAAATATTCAGAGTGAAGAAGATTATCAGTGCAAGAGGGCTGACAGGATTCTCTTAATTTCCCCAGTCTGTATTGCTAAGGACTTTTTTCAGGTCTCAATTTGTCCATCCATCATTCAAAACTGTCTGTGGTAAACAGTTTTCATTGTTCGAAGTAAAAGACCTTGAATCTAGTTACACAGATTATTCTTTGAAGATCGAACCAGACTAAAATATGCTTAGTGATTAATCAATTTATGTGTAAGAAAAGCAGAAGATTGAGAGGAAGCAGAGACAAATGTGCAATTATTTGGATTTTTTTTTTTTTAAATTTATATCTGACAAAAATATATTTAACTGCAAAAATTTAAGCTGGCAGTGCATTGTTGTGGGTATGTGTGTTGTCAGCATCGCTAGTCAACACTGGGTTAGTTTCCTGGTGCCCACAGCTTCCTCTTCCTATCCCTGGTGGCAAACCAATCAAACAGCTGCACAGACTCAAACTGATCACAGACAGTAATTCAAACTCTCATAAGTTACTGCAATAAACTGCACAGTGGATAACCAAACTCTCTAGTGGGTTTATTATCAGTTTGCTCTGCACTGATTTAAATTCCTGAGAAGGTCATTTCAATATGAAATATCAAAAAAATAAGCTAAAATGGATTTTGTTAGAAGTCTCTCTTTCTTCCAAAGAAAGGGCTATTTACACCATTACATTACAAATTTATTTTTTTGTTTTTTATTTGCTAAACAAAAGACATTTGCCTTTTAAAACTATTCAAAAACTTTAACATTTAGTGCTTAATTATGGGGAAAATAGTGAAATTAAAAATCATAAAATTAAAAAAAAAAGTCATTTACAAACAAATTTCTTTAAAAGAGATCCTATACATATGCAAAAGTATGTGGACACCTACACGGTTCATCAAGTGTGATAGTTTAAAAACAAAAACAAGCTTTAATTTGCTGCTCTAACTGTTCCAACTGTTCTATGCTTTTTGCTTAAAACTTTCCACATGATTTCTGGCTTTGCTACGACAATTTGCTCTCATTGTAACATTTATTTGTTATGTACAACACTGGTGTTAGATGATGACATGTAGAGGACTTTCTCATAAAGGATTGGGTTCTGTACCAGTCGGTCAGTTTTTAAATATCGGACTAGGAAAAATGTTTCTTTATGAGTCTTTTTGACATTTTAAAGCTAGGAAAGTTTTCAGCAAAATGCAGCAGGTAGCACACTGTTTTCAAAAGTATAGCTAAGTGCTGTATCATTAAGAATGTGGGGACACTAAAGTCAGGAAAGGACTGTGTACATTCTTTTGGACATGCACTAGAGAATGCAGCAGATATCGTCAAGGACCTGATAATCAGATTTCCACATTGTAATGATAGATTCTTCAAGCTAAAAAAAGCACATTTTCAGGAGCTTGTATAAACATTAAGCTAGTTTCCCACCTCTAACCATGACATTAGGAATGCAAACACCAGACAAGAACTTCATATATTACATATAATGTTAATTTGTCATGAATTCATTCTGACCTTGTCTGCAGTTGAGGGAAGCTTCAGGGGTTCAGCGGCTGCAGCAGAAACACAGAGACGTGATTTGTCTTTAGTTTATCTCCTGGGTTTGCTTCACCGTGATGATGCTGCTGAAAGTAGGGCTACTGGCTGGCTTATAAACCTTCCAGCCTCTGGCAGCAGCCAATCATCTCGGTGCTTGTGATGTCATGAGGTTAACCGCTCCATGGTGTCCACCTCTCCTCTCTCTCCCACTCTTCCTGTGGTTGGTTGTGTGCTGTGGTGGTGTCGGGTGCAAATACACACAGACACACACACAGAACACAAGACAAATACGTGGATAAAGGCATGCAGACATTTGAAACCCAGACAGAAGCATATGAATGCATTTTGTTTTTGTTTTTTTTGCCTCTCTCTTTCACACACACACACACACAAGCTCACTATGTGTGTAGTTAATTTAAGGACATGTAGTAACAAGCTCTGGGTTAAAAACAGCAGCATATAGTGGTAGGTGGCATGACAGTGATTCAACTTCCTTACAGACGGAACAAAATCATCTGACTGAGGTCTCTGTGAATAATTAACAATTTGATTTGTCTTAAACTGTCAGACAAAAGGTGCTAGTTTTTTCCTTCTTTGTGTATGCAGACATTTTTGTGTTAGAACTAAACCTGACTGATAACTGCCTAGAGCAAAAGGGAGAACATTTAGTGGCATAATGCATAAAGGAAGATTTTTTAACATTGTTATCATTAAATATAAATAATTTATATTTCCAATAACAGTAACAACAACAAAGTTGTATTTAAAATATTTTAAAAGCTGGAACCATGGGATTTTCATATGTTTGTGATGTTTCATAAGCTCCACTTTTTTGCACAATTTACAGTGTCAGAACAATCTATGACAAAATACACAGTATCTCATGTTTACCATCTTAGGAGTTCTAAGGCTTTGCAAAACTTGTGTCTAAATTTACAATATGAGGATGAAACTTTTTAGGAAGTACAAAACTTGAATTCACAAAGCTTCTCTTGTAGTCACTTGATTCTGAATCCAAAAGGTGGTCAGTACGCACAGAGCTGAAATAATGTTTGCTTTTATTTCAAGTAGACGAGGTTAATGCAGTGCTCTTTTTGTTGGATTTCCTACAAAAGACTATCCTAGTAGAGTGCAACCTATTCAGTCACACAGGCCTAAAGACTGGTCAGCAACCCTTTGGTGAACTTCACTCATTAGGTCATAATGTTATTAATGAATAACCAATTGGCAAGTGCTTCCTGTAGGTTGCTGGTAGGCACCAGATTAAATTGGCCACAAAGCGGTCACCAAATCTTGTGATTGCTGTTGTTGCTCAGAAGACATTAATGTCTACAAACACAAACCAGAGAGTAGGTTACCTTTAAAATAAAGGTTTCAAAAGATGCAACTTTTTCTTTGAAGCCAAACGGTCTTGTTTTTTGTTTTACATCTTCACAATTTTACTGCTGCTTAGTGATTAACTAGGGGAGTAACTGGATGGTCCACTGAATAGTCTCTAGGCCTGTGTGCTTGGAGACTAATGTAAATAACAGAGATCATGCCAGTTTTAGCAGATCTACTTTGTATTCAATTATGTTACTTCTATATAAATTCCTAAATAACTTTGTAGCATTTTAGATTTCTGAATAATTGTGTTTTTACATCCCAAATTTCCCAATTAGATCATCGCTGCAAAAATCAATATCATATCGGCCTTTTGCTTCTATTAGTTCCAAGTCTATTTTCTTTTTCCGTGCTTTCTGTTTGTGTCTAACAGAGTGTAAGTATATACTTTTAAGTAAAACAAAAATTTCTGTATACTGGGTTAAACAACCAAAATTCAAATGAATTGAATATTATATGTTGAACTGGCAATCAGATTGGTGCTGATATAGTGAGTTGTAGCTGCTAGCTTTGTGAAAGCCTTCACTTCAGCTTATTCAAGTTACTGATTTAAACTTCTTAACCTGTGTTGTTGGCACAGGTGCAATGGAATTACAGTATTTTGTGTGTATTTTTATTGGAACTCATTACAGGTATAACTCTGTCTGTGCAATGCACTCATATTGCATTTAAATGCAGCTTGCTAAGGTAGCTGGCTAGCGTTAGCTGAAAACTTAGCACACTGCTTCATCATCTCAGTTTTGTTACTCCTGGCTTTAAAACTGAAAGTTAGAAAGCAAAACACAAACCAAAGGGTGACGTTACAGCGGTTACAATACAAAGACTTATGTTATCCTTGTTGTATATAAGTAAAACCTGGGTTTTGTATGCTCTATTTACGTTTAGGGTTCATTCATGGCAACAGTTATCTCAGAGCACTTTATATATTTGTAAGGTAAAGACTGCACAATGTATACTGTATAAATTAACTGGTTGTATCCAGACAGACATTCTTTGAATACTGTTATAATTTGTATTTTAGTCTCACTGAGATGACAGAATCATCAACCCTGATTTGACTGTGTGGTAAAGTTTCTCTAAGGCTCCCCCTGCAATTACAGGAAAATGTCTGAGTCTGTATGCGTTGATATTTGACAATATGGCATTACCGTTAGAGTACATAGGGTACATGCACAGAACACATAATCACAAGAGTGGCACATCAAGGGGGTACACACAAACAAGATATTTTCTGATTGATGACCTAGACACATTTATTTTTATTTTTTTTAAATGTGCAATTATGTAGGTACATGGTTGTTTCAGTTTATCTGTTCACATCAATCGTCCCTCCATTCTCTCTGACACTGATTACAAAAACACAATGTCTCATCAGACTGAAGGTACAGACAAGTCTGATGACTTATGAGTCCTCAGTCACAATTTTACAATTAAATTACTGCTCATATTAAAGGTTTTTTTAAACCCTACTGAGGGGTTTGTTTGTTTTTTAGATACAGCTCATCAGATTTGTCCTTCTTGTTGACCTACAATCTCATTGATTAACCTTAAGCAATTTTCAAATAATCTTTAAAAATGTAGGCACAATTTTAGAAACTTCAGTGGTTATCAATAAAGCTCTTTGGTTCTGGATTCTTTGGCTTCCTCCCGCAGTCTATCTCAGTCCCAATCCCTGCCTCCATGAGCCTAAATGAGACACCAGGTTAAGAAAATTGATAAATTAATGGTTTAGGCAAGGAAACTAGCTGGGAGGAGTATGCAGCAGACATCTCACATGATGCCCACTCATTTGCACGTGTCTTAACTGCTCACAGGTCACAGGAGGGCTGTCACAGGTTTAGAGGCAGGTTATTCCCCAGTCAGGTCACCCGTCCGTCAAGACCATTTTCTATTCATTTTTACCTCTGAAAATAACAGATCATTCTCCATATTTTATGTTTTATTTTCATCTGCTTGTTTACATACAAGAAACAAAGGTCAGTGCTACTTTTAGCTTTGACATATTGATTGATAACCAAATATAAGGCATAGATTTACAAAATCAAAACATGTAACTGTGTGCATGTTTGTGAGAGGAAGATACATATTTGGAAAAGAGAGGAATAAAACAGCTTCAGACGTGCCTGGGAGAAATGTGTTAGCACATGTTTTTATCCTGGAGCAGAGATGTTTATGTGTCTGAGATCATTTACTGTCTTTTCATTATGTTTTATTGCTAATTTTTAATGCAAAGCTTTTTAAATCTCTTTATCACTTTATCTCCCAGTGCGTTATTTCTAAGTATCTTCAATACTGTAACCAATATATACAGCATATATATTGGTTATTAATTATGTGAATGAAAAATAATGCTAAATGTCAATAGAGATCATTAAGTAGGTGTTGGGAGTGCAGATTATACCACTTGAAAATAAAGCAGTAAAAACATCAAAGATGAAGAGTGTTGGATGGACTGGTCTGGGACGCTGAGTCCCCCCATAAGGCCTCCTACAGTTTCCAACACTGGGAACAAAAACAAATTTTGGTGGTGTGAAATGTTTATTTGGAAAAACACAAAAGTGTTGTTTCATGGTTCAATAAAATTGTCCCAAAGAAAGGACCAAAGATTTTATAACCTGTTTATATGTGTTTGTATCGTTTGTGCTCTGATTGTGCATGAGCATGTCTTAATCATCTGTCTCAGTGTACCATTTGCATGCATTCAACCTCTGTTTTGTTCTGTCTGACTATTCATATCTGTCGGCACTCATATTGCATTGTTGCATTCCTCAAATGTATGTGTGTATACTTAACTAAATGATTTATACTGACAGTCTTCTGTGCTCCACCAATAAAAACTGATTCAGCTGGCCCCCAACATGACCACAAATAACTCTCTCTACAGCTTGTTCACTGTTACAGCATTTATTGCTGTTTCTCAGAAAATATAAAACACAGCAAGCATATAAAATAATAACAAGAACTAAGATAAGAAGGTTGGCAAGGAACAAAATGAAGCGAGAAACTAGTGCATCCTCTCTTCAAAGCCAGTGTCCTGCTTTGCACTTTTGGATTCTATTGAAGGAAATTTTAAACTGCTGGCTAAGGGTAAATTATAAATTGCATATGTCAATCAGAGTTCACTAAATGTAATATTGAGTCGGTGTGTAACAAAGACGGACTCTCTGGGCCCCTCCTAAATCTGAGCAGCAGTGACAGGTTTAGCCGCATGTTCTCCTTAAATTTCTGACTGCCTGAGTGGTGTCCAATAAATAAATAAATGCCATAATAAATGGCGTAAGCTTTGTAAATATTTGGGTAACCTTCTGGGTGAAACCTGGTCTTGTATCCATCCCACTTTGATTGGAGCAGCTTTCATTTCTACAAATCTGGCCAAACTTATTAAATCCCCCAAAATGTCACTATTCAGAATTTCGACCAGGAAGGAGAGTTGGAGTCTTACATGCCTCAATGCAGCTTCTCTCCTCCAGTTATCCCTAAAACTCTATCCCCTTAGAGACTGTGTCAGCTTCCAGAAAACAAACAAACAACAAATTAGCAAACAATTATTTAAAATAAAGAAAAATATTGTATCCTCAACTTCACCAAAGAGTAAAACAATGAAATGTGGATTATTATACATTTGGTCTCTCTGTTCTAAGTCCCTATTAGTACATGAATTAATAATTAATCAACAAATGGATTT